TATGGCAATTTCAGTATCACTGATGGTAAATTGGGGGGTTATCAAAGAAGAGTATATGGGATGAGGAGAATGAACAATTAGAAGGGAAATGGTTCAAATACTCCTTGAGAATAAAAGGTGCAAAGCTAAAAGCACATAAAACTAGTTTTTTAGACCTATTTATCATATACATGTCATCCATGACTAGGCATGTGGAATTGAAAATTGGCATGCTTGTGTCCATCTTTTCTTCTCCGAGGTACTTTGGCCCCTACGAGATATTGGACAAGATTGGAGCAGTGGCGTACGTTTGATGTTTACCCCATCCGCCACCATACACCCAGTCTTCCATGTGTCATAGTTTAGAAGAGCTCTTGGGGAGCATGCAATTAGTGCAGATTTACCAGTAACTTTGACAGAGGAATTGGAAGTGGTCTTAGAATCACTAGAGCTAAAAGTGGTGAGATCAGATAAAGAGGGGTACAAAGAAGTGCTTATTAAATGGAGGGACCTTCCCAACTTCGATGCTACTTAGGAACCATATGAGAAGTTGAATCATCAATTTCTTTCATCACCTTGAGGACAAGGTGAGTCTATGGGAGGGGCGTAATGTTAGGCCAGCCCAAGGGCCGGCTGAACTGGTCCATCCAGGACCGGTTCAATGCTATAAACAGCGAGCCAAGGGGGGGAGGAACTATGTAGAGAGAGGGGAATAGCTAGTGTGGTGGGGCTTACTCAATAATTAAGCTTTGTATTGGAGGAAAAATATGAATTAGGAGCTGTTTAGGTATTATGTAATTTTCCTTTGACTTTAATTACTTTCTTCTTGCTAGGGTTAGGGTTATCTTGAATTTGAAGGTAAAATTTGAGATCTAGGTTTTGCTTTTGGGCTCTATGCTTTGGTTATATATTTGGAGAGTTGAATCTTCCTCTCGAATTGAAGATTATTGTATCGGTTTGTTGTTTTCTTCTTCTATTATTGGAATTGAAGTGATTATTCATCTTATTTCTCTACCAATCTTGAAAAATCTACTCTGTTCTGCTGAAATTCTCTGAAAATCAGCAAATTTCTGCATTATTGCCGGCTGTTTTCTATCAGATATACAGTTAAAATCGAACTAAACTTATGTTTGGCCTACTCAATTCCTTTTTGGGTAGGGGTTTAAACGAGTCAAGTTGAGCATGAGCCAAGCATAATTTTAGCTTGAGCTTGAGCTTAAATAACAGTTAAGTTTGAGCTCAAGCTTAACTTTATCAATTCGAGTTGGCTCATGAGGAGATAAACTTGTTATTACAAAGAAAAGGACATTCTTATTCAAACAATTAATATGGTAACATGAGAAAATGAATAAAAAATTAAATGAGAAATAATAAGAAATCACTTGAAACAAAGAAGAGATATAATTTGTAAATATTTTAATAAATTCATGAAAAATCATTGAATTCTAATATGTTTTCAGTGTATTTTATATTAATATTTTTTATATAAGCCAACTTACAAGCTAAAAAGTCAAATAAGGTGGCTCAAATTTCGCTCGTTAGCTCATCAATCTTAGTTCACGAGTTGTTTATCGAGAGAAGCCCGAGCCAAATCACAAGTTGGCTCGACTTAGATACACTTCTAGTCTTAGATGAACATAAATAAAAAAGATTTTCTTAACCACAGTGAGCTTCAATGTTTAATATTTTTTATGATAGTAAATTTAAATTATCAAAGATAATATTTTTATTTAAGCTGGTAAATATGTTAGTTTATCAGGAGCTTCTTGGTGAAATAATCAATAAAGCTTAAAAGTACAAATTGACTCAATTGAACCAATGGTCAAGCCAATTCAAATGCGCCAAATCAATCATGCGGAAATTCAAAGCTTCAATAAAAGCTATTCATTATTTTAATTTTACATTTGAGTCATGTAATAATTTAGTAAAGAGCTTGTTGATTGATTAAGGAATGCCTCGCACACATACCACCACATTGAAGAACTTTTAAATGTTGTATGAGATTTTGATATAAATCATCCAGTTGATATGAACCATACAGTATGATATATTTCAAATTCTGCTCGTTATCTTGTCATGGTAAGGGAATCAAACTAACAAATTAGAACCATATATGAATTGTATCACATGATGAATACCACCACATTGAAAAACTTTTAAATGTTGTAATGAGATTTTGATATAAATCATCTAGTTGATATTAACCATACAGAATGATATATTTCAAACTCTAATCGTTATCTAATCATTGTAAGGGAATCAAGCTAACTAATTAGAACATTATATGAATTGTATCACATGATGAGCAATGTATAATACCAACTTCACTATCAATTTTTAATTAAATTGATTGTACAATACAATGTATATTGTATAATACAAACATCCAAATATCTTATCTTCTAGATTTCTTTCTTTCAAATAATCATTGTGTGTTATATTTCATAATGGAAATGACTAATTGTTGGAGAAGAACATGCTTAGTTGCGTTTTAACTTATATATACTCTTAGTAACCCTTGAAAAAAAGATTAATGCAATACTAAGCCTAAAGACCATCTTCACAACTCATTCTCACTTTTCTCAAAACCTCTTTCCTCCGCTTGTAATTTGGTTTTTGAGAGAGCTTATGAGTTATTTTGCAAAGGAGATTTCATATCTCAAAAGTATTTTTCCCTCTAAACTGGAATTGCCAGGCGTATTAATTAGGAGGGGTCAATTATATGCATAGAAGTTGGGATGTTGCAACCTAGCGAATTATGATAGGAGCAGCGGGCTTTTTTAAGTAGAGGCATTGGGTGGCTTGAATAGCGCCAAGAAAAGTTTGTTAAGATATTTCTCCACCAGTGACTGTGAAGGAGAGATAATAAAAATCTTGAGAGAACATGGGATTAGATGTAGGCCATAGATAGTTGAACCACTATAGATAGATTTACATTATTTATTTTTATTTCTCACATCTCACTTAATTACTTTCTTTATAGCAATAAAATTACATTGTTTGGTGATTCAACACCCTCCCCCCCCCTTTCTCCTTCTTCCTATTGGTTAGTGACATTGACTTCATATTTTATGCATCACAAGGTCAAATTTAATTTCGCATCATCATATAACCAATAGCCTAAAATGAGATGAAATCAAAATAACAACTGTTGCGTCCTGGAATATTCGCGGCGGTAGAGAAATATATGGTTTAACGTCTTAGCATTGTACGAAGATATAATTACCTAAGTAATGATAGCTAGCATAAAATAAGCATAGCTAGTAGATTTAATGGAATCATCAGAAATATTAAGATCACATAAATTTGCTAAACATATGAACAACCAAAATCATGATGAAAAAATTATGCATATGATCATTAATTATATAATCAATAAAATAAATAAAATATGAATATTTCATTAAGAAAAACAAATATAAATAGGAAATCAATTATTAAAAATTATATATATATATATATATATATAATGCAATTATAATTTTAACTTATTTTAAGTAAAATTTTGATTAATTATAAAATAAATTCACCTTAACTTTGTGTTTATCATCCTAGTATCATTGGTTAATCTTAATCAATTCACAATGAATAATCTAAATGCATACACCTGAATAAAATGATCTTGCAGTCTTTGTACTAGAATCTATCTCCTACATGAACACTATCATTATCACTATAATTATAAGTATATGATTAATCTAAAAAAAAATACTTGGCAAACCATAAGATAACCTAATGTTTGATTGTTTGTCATTGTCAAACCACTGAAAAACCACACATGAGACGAGTTTATGGGATAATACAAAATAAATCTCCGCATTAAGTGTACACTTACTATGATTACTTTTGGACCATGAATCATGACAAAACTTCTATATCAACCTAAATGAGCTGATGGCTTTCATTTAAAACTAATCCTAGCTGTTATTTTTCTCCCTTCCATGATCCCTAGTTAATGACTGTTCTCTTACGAAGATTTTGGGTCCACATGTTTGCTCTTTTTTGGACCTTCCCATGAATGCTAGACTCAATTCTATTATCTAGGATTGTAACTGGACTCTACTTAGACCTTCATCTTTTGCAGAAGCTATATGGATTGAGAATATTAAAGCTATCCCTATTGATCCTGATAGAGAACGGCTCTAATGGAGTGGGCAAGATATTTTCTCAGCTTTGTGCCAAAATCTATACATTATGATATTCATGATTTTCATTAGGCTCAATTTTTGTGGCATAAAAGCTTTTCATTACAAAATTCAACTTAAACATAGATGGCTTGTTTGAATGGCCTAACATTGTTGATAATCTTTATTTTGGAGGCCTTAATTAATAGCACCACTGTCCTTTGTTAGGTGAATAATGAAACATTTTCTAATAGCTTTTTTGACTGCCTTAAATATGAATCAGTAAGAATTCCCTTGTCGAGAGCATCCCCAACGCAAGTTCTGAAATTTAGTTCCTTTTTCTACCTACGACCACTATATAATTAGGAAGTTTATTTGCTTGTTGTGAGGATACAAATTGAAAATGTTGATTCGAAAGGAATGGCTAGTGGCTAGAATAAATTTCAAATCCTCCATAAGGTCAGAAGCAGATGGCCCAATACTATTTGTGAACAGCAAAAAATATTAGATGTCTCCAAAGCTGAACTTCATAACATTTTTTTGTATAGTGCGTAAGTAAGTTGTTTTTATAGTCTCACTATTTTGAGCTTCCACTGTCATCATTAAAAAATAAATTAAATAAATAAAAAATGATAGTTGCATCTCCACAATAAGATATAATGTATTCCATTGAAGAGCTAGCAGACTACCACGGGTCATTAACATGTGACATGGGAAGATTTCTCAATTGAAGAGTAGATCAGTTAAAAAAATAGGCACAGCAAAAACAATCATAAACACTTTCTACCACATAGAAAAATAAATAAAATAAACCCAAAGAATACAAACGGATGTAGACCTTACTATTCACAGGTAACAGTAAATCGTGAGTTGAGGACTTGAATTTCCATTCATTACCTAAGGCCAAAAGCAAGCGCCAAAACATAGGGAAAGCACAATGTGAAGGCCAGAATGACTTCTAGGCTGTGCGTTGTGAGGCTGGGGCAAAAATCATTTCTGAGCTTGTCCTTTCTGAGGAAGTAAAGCTTCCATGGAGCGCAACCTATTGGCTATCTCTGTAAAGCTTGGCCTATCGGTTGGTTCTGCAGACCAGCACCGCTCCATCAATGCTCCCCACTCAGGATCACAGGAATCAGGCACCGTAGGCCTTAGGGTGTTGCTCACAATACCACCTATCAAGATCAAATTCAATATAAAAGAACTAAGAAATTCAATCATGAAGATCCAGACAAGTACCTATAATTGCACCATAGTGTAGATCTGAGTATGGTTCCTCTCCAGTAAGAAGTTCCCACATCACGATACCAAAAGAGAACACATCAACCTGAGGTTATTACAATTGAAATGAGTAGACAAATAAAGGAAATGAACACATCCATCTATTCCGAGAGCTTGAGTTACCTTCTCAGAGACTAAATTGCTACTACCATTCAAAAGTTCCGGAGCCATCCAGGGTAGCGTTCCTCGAACACCTCCGGAAATAAGCGTCTTACATTTCACTTTTGAAAGGCCAAGGTCTCCCACCTGAAAATTATTCAAGGCACAAGTAAACAATTAATTCATACTGATGGATCCACAAGCCAATTTTGAAATTCAAAAGCAACGGAAGTGCTTCAATTCCATAGCTTTTGATGCTAGTATTTTTCTCAATGCAATTCCAGATCTCTAGAAATAAATCAAAATACATTTTTTAAATAAGTAGCATTAGTAGATTATATTTATGATACATATACGCAATTATGTCTGGAGAGAAATTTTATTATGCTTAATATCAACAAGTGATGTGTTCCATCTTACTTTTTTTTGGCTATTTTTATCTCTTTTAGATATTTCACATTTCATATCTTCGTTACTATTGTTACAGTGAGAAGTTCAAACATCCAACAAACTTAGATTTCTGTTGTATAAGAAGCTACTAAAAGTGGTAAGTCACCCTTGGATCAACTTTGAGTTTAATTCAACTACAAGTTAGTCATCAATAATAATCCATTCTAAATCTTAAGGTTAGTCATTCCACTATTGACAGTCTTGAAAAAAAAAAAAAACTCATTTTCTTTTTCGAGAAATAGAAATTCGTGCACATTCTATTGACCCCATCAACATTAGTATATATTATTTGTGTTATGATTAGCTTATCAACTATTTGATAATAAAAAAATTTATGTAGTACCCTGATTTACTTAGTGCTCTACAAGTTATTTAGAGACTAGCTAAATCATAATGATGATGACTCTATTCACTAAGCTTGTTGGAGCAAGATGAAGAATCATAATGTTTCAAGTGTTTGAATTATGACCCCAAGAAATTATCTTAATGTGTGTGTTTAGATGTTTCTACATTTGATTGACTGCATGGTTTATACTAGAGATCTCATGGATGATAAACACAAACTAAAATATATCTTCAATATTTTTTTAGAATTATCGAAAATATATTTCAACAACAACAATAACATCAAGTCTTTATCTTTCTACATGGTGTCAGCCATATAAATCATTTTTCTCCATTGTGTCCTATTAAGGTCAAATTTTCACTTAAATTTAATAATAAATAAAAGACATTTCTAATATTATCTAGCTAAATCTTTTTAGGTCTACATCTACCTTTCTTAACATAGGTCAAATTCAATACATCTACTCTCCTAATCAGGTCATCAGAAGGCCAACATTTTATGAGTCCAAACCATCTCAGGTGACTCTCTCTAATCTTATCAACCATTAGAGCTACTCCAACCTTTTTACATATATACTTATTTCGCATTTTGTCTCTAATAGTGAAGCCACTCATCCACCTGAGCATCCTCATCTCTGCAGCACCTAACTTAATTTTATGTTTTTCTTTTAATGGCCAACATTCTATGCCATAAAGCATCGCAAGTCTCATCAATATTTTATCTAATCTTCCTTTAAGTTTGAGGGGTACTTTTTATCACACAACCAATGTTTAATATTGCGCAAACAAGTATTGAGGCATTTTTTGTTCATGAGGCGAGGCGTAAGCCTCAAAATAAAATATTGCATTAAGTGCAAATAAATGTTAAAAGTAAAATTTTATATAATATCTAAATAATATGTTAAAAGATGATATATTATCTTTCTATTGAACTATGAAGTAACATAATGACATATGAAACAAAACATTGCACTAGACATAAAGTGTTTGGTGATAAATTGCATGAAATATAATTGAAATACAAATATTACATGAGCAAAAAATTATTAAATATAAAAACTGCATAAATGTATCATATAACATTAAGTTCAACTTCAAATTCTTTCTTTCTTAGCTCCCTACTTATCTACATTTAATTTCTAAAAAAGGCTGAAAAGTTAGCAACAACTAGAAAATCATTTGTATTGTCATCACTAAGGGGATATTTATTTGAGTCGTTATTATAACAAATTGATTTCTCCCCTGTTTCGTCCTGTGGAGTCTAATGCTTTCCAATATGCTTCTTCTTTATTTATTTTAGGCATCTTACTCTTTTATAAATGTATTTCAACAACATAAAGCTGAGATGAATACTCCAAAATTTTTAGAGGTGGTGGTGGTGTGCGGCTTTCAAGTGATCCTTGACGATGGCTATGACGATGATGGTTGTGGCGAAGGCGACGGGCTGGAGGTTGAGAGGAAATTGTTGCGACTTGGGGGTGCACGAAGTGTGAATTGTTCAGGGCTTTACTTTATGTATATATACATATGTAAATATGTACATATATATGTATATACATATATAAGGGTGAGGCGTAAGCCTCATGTCAGTGAGGCGAGGCGAGCCTCAAGGCGGGCCTCAACAAAGTTGAGGCACAAGGCTCATAAAAGAAACTCGAGGCATAAGCCTCGAGGCGTTTTTCACTGGAATTGCGCAAAGGTGGGCCTCAAGGCGAGCCTCATACAGCGCAATTTTAAACAATGCACACAACAAACTTGATGCATTCCTCACTTCAACCATCCAACTTGAATTCTACTAATAATATCCTCATCTATTTCACCATCACTTTGAATCCCAAGATATCTAAAATGAGTACTCTTATTAATGACTTGATTGCCCAAAGTCACAATCCCTCAACTAGATATATTACTACTAAAACTACACACGATGAATTCGGTTTTAGATCTACTAAAATGAAAACATTTAGACTCTAAGGTTGCCCCATAATTCAAGTTTTCTTTCAACTACCTATCTAGTCTTATCAACAAGAAGAATATCATCAACAAAAAAGCATACACCAGGACACATCCTCATGTAAATGTCTAGTAAGAACATCCATAACTAAGGGATTGTTTGGTTGGAAGTAAAGTGGGTGTAAAATATTCCAAATGCAATGATTTTGAAAATATTGGTGGTTCGTTCAATGAAAAAGGAATGCAAAGAGTAAACTAAACTCGCTCAGTTTTGAGTGAAAACTGTTTTCACTGCAAACAACCTTTGCCGGCGCTTACAACCAGACACCAGGGCCAACTGTCGTCACAACCATCAATCGTCAACCACCACCACCACTGGCCCCCACCACTCACCTTCGACCAGGCCACCATCACCACCTCTTGCAGTCGACCACCATCCCCATTAAACACTAGTCGCCACAACCCACACCACCACACACATCCAGACGTCAGCACATGGCATCTACCAGCATCGCGGCCACCCGCCGTCAACCACCATTGCCACCTCCCACTATTGGCCACAACCACCACCCGCCAGTGGCCACCCATTTCCCTCGCCGACCGCCACCACCAGCCACCGTTGTCATCATCTTTGGACTTTACACAACATTAATTTTACTTCAAAAAAAAAAATCCACCTGCATTTATTTTACACTCAACAAAACAACATCAAAGTATTTATTTTACACTAAATTCCATTTACATTGCATTCCTTTTTTAGCCAATCAAACAACCTCTAAAGCAAAAAAGATATGGGCTTAAAGCTGATCCTTAATGTAATCCAACTAAAATAGGAAAATACTTTATCAAACTACCTCATGTTTGAACACAAGAAATAACTCCTGCATATATATCCTTAATGACTTGAATATAAACATTATTAACTCCTTTCTTTTCCAAAACTCTCCAAAGCACTTTGATGGACCAGCCAATTTGATTGGAAGGGAATTAAGAAATTTCTTAATCAAGAGAGAGTTGTTTAGGAATGTTCTTAATCAAAATGAATTAATTAGAAAATATTTTTTAAGAAGAGGACATATTTAGGGGTTGATTTGAAGGGTATTAATTAGGAAATATTTCCTAATTGAAAAGGTCAGATTTGGGGATCTTTAAAATTCTGCAAGCACTTCCTATCAAATTAGTATCAGAGCAGATTTTGGGATTATTTTTGGGCTATTTCTGTGAAAACCATTAGCTATTTTTTGGCCAAAAGAGGGATTGTTTGTTGTTTTTTGACGTCAAGATATAGATTGTTGAGTCTACAAAGATTCAAGTATTGATGGCGGCCAAGAAAGTGGATGCGTTGGAAGAACACCTTGAAGGGGAGATGAGACAAATGAAAGCAACGGTGGATGATAGAATATCAGCTATGAACGGCCAAGTTTCAGATCTTCACGAGATGGTGAAGAAGATATTGGAAAATCAAAATCAAACGGCGACATCGGAGGCAAGGGGTATGGTAGGGAGAAATACAAATTCTAAAATTTGTTGGAGGGAAAAAGATGTGGAGATCATTGAGGAGAGAGGTGCGAGGTATGGAGAGAGGCGTGGTTATGGGGAGCATGAACCAAGGGGTGCTGATTGAGAAAGAAAAGAGGGGGATTATGGTAGGAGGGATGTTGATTTTGGAGGAGAGGAGAAAGTGATGAGGGACATTGGTATGAGAATGGGAGGATCGGGACACTTGGGGAGGAGCAGACACTTAGGAAAGGGGAAATTATAGAGAATTCAGGGAAAATGGTGGAGATCTTAAGGTACAAAAGTTGAAGATGCCCATTTTAGAAGGAGAGGACGCACATGGATGGATCTACAACATGGAAAGATATTTCGTCGTTAATGGGAGACGGACGAGAAAAATTGACGGCAACTGGCTTATATTTGGAAGGGAAGGCGATGCCTTGGTACTAGTGACATACATAAGGAGGCCTATACAGAGTTGGAGAGAGTTAAAGGAATACTTATTGGAATGTTTTTGAACTGGCAGGGGAGGGGACTTCTATGAGAAGTTCTTTTAGTGCAGGAAGACTTAGTGGTAGATTACCGCGAGAGATTTGAGTACCTAGCAAGTCGATTGGATCGACTATCGGAGACTATTCTGGAGGAAAATTTCATGAAGGGATTCAAATCAGAGATCCGGACAGTAGTGATGGTCATGAGGCCTCGTGACTTGAGAGAGGCTATAAAGCTGGCACAAGTAGTGGAGGATCAGAAGTACTAGGAGAGGGGAGCTAGAGAAAGCCGTTCAGGTGGCTCTTATAGGATGACTACCACTCTTTTAGTACCCAAGGGGATTGTATCGAGCAACATTTGTGAGATTACCAGGGAGAAGCTAGTAGGAGGAAGTTGGGGGGGACTTCAAA